TTGATTGACAGTTGAAAGAGCCAGAGCTCAACCCCCGCAAGCACAATTAGGAGAGTACTCATTCTCAACTCTCACACAAGAGGTTACACATTCAAGGTAAGGAAACAAAGGTGCCAAAAAATATTATAAAGTCTTCTTTTGAAAACACAGTGGTAGATGGTTGGAACAAGTTAATAAGTGAGAAAATGGTGGCGGTCAAAAACTGTCAATAGTTTCAAAGTGTTATATGACACAGTGCTACGAAGATGGGACACCACGAGCGTAGCTCTCATCCTGTAACTACACCTAGGTAATTACACACACACACACAAACACACATCCTGACGTGACCGCCACCCAGGTTAGACGTGACGAACCATCCTCTGAGAATGTGTAGGGGGGATACAGTGAAGGGTTACTGAAATTTGAATAGTGGAAAGTTAACTGGCAATGCTAGGAACTGTAAATGGAAGCTTCCAAATGTAGATTGGAAGCTCAAGACTTTGAAGACGATGTACTGGCAAATATCACCTACTGTACTGTGCTGGCAGGAGGGTAAGGTAAATGGCAGGCTTTCTTGCAATGACTGACACATGAAGAGTAACTAGGTCAAGGTGCAGCATGGAGGAACTCACAATGGGAGGAATAGATAGGATTGTAGAGGGTGATTTGGGGGAATGGGAAGAGAGGGGTAAACTTTGGGTTAAGATCATCTTAGAATAGAAAAAGTACTTGGATACAAAATGAATGTGAAATGACCAAACAAGCAGTGGAGAGAGGAATATTATAAAGCAGAAATTAGGAAGATGAAAACAGAGTGGGGGGCAGCAAGGTAAAGACTGGAGAGAAGAATAACTTAGTATCAGTCATAATCAGGGGTTGGAAGACATATTCCAGGACACCAGATTAACTGAGGTAGGGTCAACCACCACTGGGGTAGCAAGCAAGCTGGGGAGGCAAGACCAACAGCTAGAGGACAAATTGGAAAGATTACAAAGCACCTGATGACTATGTGAAAATGATGGGAGCAATATGGTAATTAGAAACGAGAAAGCGACTACTACAAGGGGTGCAATACATCATGAGACATTGAAGCAGTGATGAGAGAGATAATTACAATAAACAACAGAAGAAAGAACAGTAGTAATACAGGGACTAATCAAGGAACGCATGCCTTCAAAACACTAGAGGATACAATATGAAAGACTAGAACAGGGAGAGATCATGAGATGTTTGAATGCTGACCAAGAGATGACAGAGGTTGTGATATCACACTGCATTGGGCCATATACTCAGCATAGATTTGTTTTGTTAGAATTTACCAATGGACATTCAGTTAAATATATATTGGAGTATAAACATTTACTAAGGAGGTCAGGAAATTATTATAATGTTTACATAGAATGATTAATAACAAAACAGGAGCAGCAGGAACACAAGTCACAGACTTTCATGACAGTAGAGATGAAACATCCAAACAGTGACTGTCAATTAGACATCCATCACACCACCACAACCCCACCCCCAACCACACCCTAACACATCCCCCAACCCTCCATTACCTGAAAATGACCCAACCTATCCCCCCCCCACCCACAACCACACCCTAACACATCCCCCAACCCTCCATTACCTGAAAATGACCCAACCTATCCCCCCCCCCACCAATCCCTGCTGCACCCAATTCCCCCACCCAACCATGCTTTGTCCCACACACACCCCTGACCATACATGATTCTGCTCTGCCACCCCGCCCCCCTTAACTCATGTCCATGCCCTACCTCCCACCAACATCTACCGTCTTACCCAATCCCTGATTTCTGCCCACTCCATGACTTCCTCCCACTCCATGACTTCCACCCATTTCCTAACTTCTGCCCAGTCCCTGACCTCCACCCACTCACTGACTCCCACCCACTCCCTGACCCTCACTAACTCCCCATCTACCACCCAATCCCTGACCACCATCCACACCCCTGTTCCCAAACTGCTCCCTGACCCCCACCCACACAGTGACTCCCACCACCTTCCTTAAAACTGCCCAATCCCTGACACCCAACCACTCCCAGATTTCTGTTCGTTCCTTGACTCCCTGACCACCCCTCGCTCCCTGACCCCCACACACCCCTGGACTTCCTGGCCCCCACTCACCCCTAGACTCCCTGACCCCCATTCACCCCCTATTTCACCCTGACACTGAAATCTCTGGGAATAGTGTGTCCAGGAAGAGCCTGAAGGTTTGGTACACGAATACCGATGGAGTTACTAACAAGGCAGAGGAAATTAATGAAAGAGTAAGTGAAAGTGATTCAGATTTGATTGATATAGTGGAAACGAAAATAAATGATACAATCTCCGAAGCAATATTTCCAGGGGGATTCCAAGTAATAAGGAAAGAAGGACAACAAAGGCAAGGATGTAGAGTTGCACTCCCAGTAAAATGGGAGTGGAAATTTGAAGAACTCAAGAATCAAGGTGAAAACGTATACACAGACTCCCATCATTGGGACACTGACAGCAGATGAAAGTAGAATTGTGGTCCTGGTAATTTACAACCCCCACCAAACAACAGAAGACCCAGCCAGGAATATGATGACATCAACAAAGCATGCATAGAGGCATTGCAGAGAGCAGCAACAATGGCACACAGAATGAGAGCTAAACTTGTAGTCATGAGGGACCTAAATCATGGAGAGTTTGACTAGGATTCCAGAAATCCTCATAGTGGGAAAGAAATGTGGGAAGCAAAATTAGTGTAAGTTGTAGAAAGAAACTTCTTAATACAACATGTAAAGAACAGGAGATACACCATGTCTACTGGAGTTGATCTTCACCCAGAATGAGAGACACATTGAGAACTTATGAGCATGAAATACCACTAGGAGCAAGTGTGTCGTGGTATGAGACTACACGATGAAAGACAAGGAGTCAGGGAAGGGAGAGCAGAATATATATATATAAAAAAAAGAGACATTACATGAAAGTAAAAGAGTATCTGGGAAGTGTGCTATGGGAGGAGGAACTTAGAGGGAAGACAGTCCAGGAAATGATGGACAAGTAAAACTGAGGTACAAAGAGGCAGAAGAGACTCATACCACCATTAAGGGTAAAAAAGAAGAACGTATAATAACCCATGGTTCAATAGACAGTGCCAGGAAGGAAGAGCAAAAAGCAGAATGAAGTGGACGAAATACAGAAGGCGAAGGACAGATGAAAAATGGAATAGATTCAACAGGGCCAGGAATGACTATATAAACAAAAAAAATTGGCAGAAAGAAACTATGAAAATGTAAGCAAAGCTCTTTGCTTTGTCTCCAAAGCAAAGAGCCAACTGAAACTCCTACATAGCCATATAAGAAGAAACATGACTAGTGAATGACCAAGTGACCAGATTACGAAATAGGGGAATAATACAGAATAATTAAAAGGGGGGAAATATACAGAAAATGATAAAAGAAACTGTCAGGATAAATGTGAGGAGCTCAATGCCAACTTCCAGGGCATGTTCACTACTGAGCCTGAACAGCTCCCAGAACTAGATGAGGAAGCAGCCCCTGAAGAGAAATTACTAAATTTTGAGGTAACGGGCAAAAGGAAGAAAGAATACAGCTAGCATTACTGGATGTAAATAAAGCTACTGGGTCAGACAGAATGTCACCATAGATGACAAAAGCAGCAGCACAGGACCTCGGCATACCTCTAGCACTAATCTATAATGAGTCACTTACATAGGGGAAACTGCCCAGCTGCTGGAAGAAGGTAAATGTGGTGTCAATCTACAAGAAAGGAGATAGAGAAGAGGCACTTAACTAGAGACCAGTGTGTCTCACAAGCATCCCTTGCAAAGTACTTGAAAGAATTATAAGGCTAAGACTAATTGCACACCTAGAAAGAATTGGGTTTGTAAGTAAACAAAAACACGGCTTTAGAGCAGGGAAATCATGCCTGACGAACCTCCTGGAGTTTTATGACACAATAACGAAAATAAGGCAAGATACAGAAGGATGGGCAGATTATATATTTCTGAACTGCCAAAAAGTCTTTGATACAGTACCACACAAAAGGCAAACTTGAGAGGCAGGCAGGAGTTGACGGAAATGCACTATCATGGATAAGGAATTACCCGACAAGACAGGTTTCAGAGTGACAGTGAGGGGCGAGGAGTCGGACTGGCGTAGAGTAACAAGCGGGGTGCCTCAAGGATCGGTGCTGGGACCGATCATTTTCAACATTTATGTAAATTATTTGAGTGCAGGAGTTCAGTCTTTTATGTCAATGTTTGCAGATGATGCAAAACTAATGAGGAGGGTTGAGACAGATGAGGATTGTAAGATTCTCCAGGATGACTTGAACAGGTTGCAGAGATGGTCCGTGAAATGGCTGCTAGAGTTCAACACTAACAAGTGCATGGTGATGGAAATGGGGACAGGAGCCCTATAATGTCTAGAGAAAGAGACCTAGGGGGGTGAACATAACACCAAACCTAACTCCAGAGGCTCATATAAATAGAATAATGTCAGCAGCATACTCTACTCTGGCAAAAGTCAGAACATCATTCAGAAACTTGAATAAGGAGGCTTTTAGATCACTATATATATCGCCTATGTGATGCCAGTCTTAAGAGTATGCTGCCCCATCATAGAGTCACCATTTTAAAGATACATAAGGAACCCCGAAAAGGTGCAGAAATTTGCAGTGAGATTCGTCTCAAAGCTGTGAGAAATTAGGTAAGAAGATAGACTGAAGGCACTAAACTAGACTACGAGAAGAGATTAGAGGCATTAAATATGCCAATACTAGAAGACAGAAGAAAAAGAGGTTGATATGATCACTACGTACAAAATATTAACAGAAACTGATAAAATCGATAGGGAAGATTTCCTGAGACCTGGAACTTCAAGAACAAGAGGTCATAAGAGTTAAACTAGCTAAACACAGGTGCCGAAGAAATACAAGAAAATTCACTTTCGCAAACAGAGTGGTAGACAGTTGGAACAAGTTAGGTGAGAAGGTGGGGGGAGGCCAAGACCGTCAGTAGTTTCAAAGCGTTATATGACAGTGCTGGGAAGATGGGACACCACGAGCATAGCTCTCATCCTGTAACTACACTTGGGTGTAGTTACACACACACACACACACACACACACACTTATGGAATGCCCTCTCATTACACAATGCATCCCCTCCTCCCTGCCAGTTCCCAATAAATATTAATCCCTCAACTCAAACTCTACACCTTCTTCCAACCACATATATAACCCAAAATATGTACTGCCATCACAAAACACATCATATGCACCCCTCTCCTAAACCCATACAACCAAAAAGAAGATTAGCTTTAGAGAACTAGTAAAACTTAACAAAACAGGCTTGACCACTAATTACAATGTCCTTCTAGCAAAATGATTAACTTCCCTTACTTTCTTCAGAGCTACTGTATTGCAGTGAATAGATATGTAGAGCACTATCCTTGAGTTATGGTATGACAAGGTATTGCTATGGCAAGGAGAACCTCTTGTCAAGGTATACTGGTGTTAACAATAATTTATTAAGCCTTGGCATCACTGAGGACAAATACACTACTATTGTTAAGTGAAGCAAATGACCTACTTATTCCTAAAACTAAATTTTTTTTAATTATGTAAATCACTGTAATTCTATGATTATGCCACTCTATTAAAGTTTAAAAGAAACAGCATGGATATTCTGCTATCAAACCAAGCCAAAACACCGAGTTAGGAATCAGAGTTTAGCATGGAGGATGAAAGGTTAATTTTGAGCATGTAAAGCTGTACTCTGATTAGCTAACATTAAGATCTAAAAATCTGCAGAACTTAAGGCTTCAATCATCCATAAATAAATTACTCTGAAATAGTAATGTGCTGAAGATAAACATTGACCAACAAGTCAAATTAGAGCTGACATGAGTAAACATGGTAAGGTTTACAGATAAACATATTTGACCTGGTTCATGCAAATACCCATGTACAACTTGTACTTCACAGGAGACATCTTGTCTATTTGAGAATAAGGAAGATATTGAGTAAAAAATGTTTAAAGTCCGTATAAAAAATATTACAAATTTTCATAAATACTTTGTTGTTTGATATAACACACTACTCTTCCTTTCAAACACCATTCATCCATTCACTTATTACTCACAATATACATAATTCTCTCAAAGGCATTCTTTTAAAATTAGTTTTACAATACTAAAAAGAACTGAAGTTTCTGGTACACTACCCTATAAAAGATAACAATAAAAAAGTATTTTAAGTATCACGAGTGTGTCTTATGTACACTTATACATCTGTACACAACTGTGGTCTAAATTCCAACTTTTAACAGTAAATCAGCGAGCAAGGCAAATCATTCACCTTTATATTCAAGCTTCAGCTTTGGACAAGAGAACAATCAAAAGTATTACCTGCCTGAACTGTACACAAGCTTATCACTGCTTATGGCCCACATAAATCTCTTCATATTAAAGCTCTTATTCACAGTAAACAAGCTCAGCCTTTTTAATAACCATATCAGTTTATTTAGCTTTGAGAACCCAAACACAAACACCAAGGCACTCAATTAGCCTTATCATTGCTGATACACAACAATTGTAAGTTAAAATTCATTTTAAACATAAAACATGAACATAAGACTAAGTTAAAAAAATTACATAGCTTGATGAAATTTTTTACAAATAAAACTTATCTGAATGTTACCTTAAAGGCTAACAAGTCACTGAGCAATGCTTACACAAGACTACTGAGATCCATCCATCCACTTACAGCAAACACTGCTGACCACTATAAATCACAGATGACTGCACACTATCATACCCACATCTTGTTAAGTAGGTTCAGTCTTCGTTTCTTCTGTTGGATAAAAACAAACAAAATAAAATTAAAGAATTGCTGGAGAACACAGCAGAAAATCAAGCAAGTGCATCCTGGAAATATTCTAGGTACTGAACAAAAACTGTGAATATAATTTGCTCTAAACGTTATATGTATTAATGTAATAATTTAAATAGACTGTCCTTGTCCACCTCATCAATTTCCCTCAGCATACTGACTGTAGTGATCAAGGCTCCTCTTGTTTCTTCTCTCCTCTAAGGTGGAGAGGTTCTCCCAATCCTTATTCTGAGCCATCTCAAATCTAGTACTACAATAGAATCAAAGCTTTGTACTTTCTCAAACTTATTGTGCTTCACTATGCCAGTGGTGTAAGTATATTTTTACACTACTCGGGTAATTTATATTACCCGAGACATTAACGGTCTCAGGTAGGCCCTGAATATGGTTTTACGGTGACTACCGGTCACTGCACAGGCTTTTAAATAATGTCTTATGTTCGTCAATTTCCCATATACCTCTGATGATATTCTGTTTGAGAGTTTTTGTGGTTAGTGTTAGGATTATATCAACTCCCAAATATTTGTCTTATTAATTCTAGCAGTTGCCTCAACTCACGGTGTAGTTTCTTACAACTTCTCAATATCAATTTCATAGCTTCATTACCTTACACTTCTTTGAACTGAATTCTAAAAGTCATTTATTTATCCTTAAAGTCAGTCACAATAATGTGGTTGAAGATATGATGTCCAAACCCCACACAAAAAATTAAGAAATGACGAAATTTCAGTCCATCTTGGACCATTATCAAGTTGTGTAATGGAAAAAGAATAGAAGAGATAGATAATATAAGCAAAGTGAGTGAGATGAAAGATGGAACGAAAGAGAAAGACAAAGATAATATGATGAAAGATAAGAATTAGATGAAATGCAAGATGAAAAAACCCAGCGTTTGATGTAATGAAATGTCATTTTCTGGGCGAGTCCCGGTGGCTCCCTGGAGCTATCCAGACTATTTATGTCCCTAAACTTTGGCATCAGTGTGAATGAAGTTCTAGGCCTACGGGGACCACGAGCCAGAACCTGGCCCCCTCAGAGAGGCACGAGGAGCAATGGCCTATAGATTTACACATGGGATTTGGGGCATTCTATAACTGACATCAATTGGGATAGGCACCCAGAAAACAAAGTGCCTCAAAACAAACTCCTATTCTTGTGAAAACAACTAAAATAGACAAACAAGTGGGCAGAACTCTTCAAATGAAAACGAGCAAATGAGCATGACGTCACACGAGCCGTGCCACATGTCGGGACCAAAGAGCCAGAGCTCAACCCCCGCAAGCACAATTAGGCGAGCACAAACTGGAAAAGGTGCAAAGACACGCTACTAAGTGACTCCCAGAACTGAAGGGCAAGAGCTATGAGGAGAGGTTAGAGGCATTAAATATGCCAAGACTAGAAGACAAGAAAAAGAGGCGATATGATCACTACATACAAAATAGTAACAGGAATTGATAAAATCGATAGGGAAGATTTCCCGAGACCTGGAACTTTAAGAACAAGAGATCATAGAATTAAACTAGCTAAACACAGATGCAGAAGAAATATAAGAAAATTCACTTTCGCAAACAGAGTGGTAGACGGTTGGAACAAGTTAGGTGAGAAGGTGGTGGAGGCCAAGACCGTCAGTAGTTTCAAAGCATTATATGACAAAGAGTGCTGGGAAGACGGGACACCACAAGCGTAGCTCTCATCCTGTAACTACACTTAGGTAATAATAGGTAATATGTCTGCAGCTCCCCCCTGCCTGGGAGGGGAAGGGAAGAGCCCCAGACCTCTGCACCAGCGATCCACCCTGCAGTTCTGAGGCTGGATGTCAAAAACATGTGAAAAAAAACGCCAACCGGAAGGAGGGAGGGTTGCCGGGGAGCCTCTGGAACTCACCCAGAAAATGGTGTTTCATTACATTCAACGCTGGTTTTCTGGTGAGAACCCCTTTGGCTCCCTCAGAGCTCCCCCAGAGCTACTACACCAAAGATGAAAACAAAGGTACTTACCAATGAGGCGGCTGGTGCTCACATTTCAACTCGAAGTTGAGACAACGAGCTGCAACTGCCGATCCAACGCGACACAGGCCTGACTAAGCTCAGAAACATTCACGAGGTAGCGTGCAGAAGTAAGACCCTGTTCGACCGCCAAAAACCCCGTGCCTGAATATCAGCCCAGGACATGTTACCAAAGAAGGCAGCAAGCACATAAAACTTACGAACGTCATGGGCACGGGGATAGACTGCAGGCTAGCTAGACCGAATAACCCTGCAGACGCCCTGAGAGACCCGAAATCGAAAACAGGGAAGAAGGGATCAACCCAAAGTATGTCCCCAGCCACAGAGGCGTGGAGTGCAAACAACGGCGGAGAGCCTCAACCGGAATAACACATGATACACCCCTGGCCTGATCAACCAAGCATCAACAACCCAAGGACACCTCCGGAAAGCAGCAGTTTCATTCTTCGCCAAAAAAAGGAGATGGCTGCAACGAACAAACCTATCACTACGACCAAAAGAGCAGAAACCCCAGCTCCGGAGGAGAGCATGAAGCTTCCCAACCTGACCCCCAGAGGCCAAAGCCAACAAGAAAAGAGCCTTGGAAAAACAATCCTGAACCAAAGGAGCCACAACAAACCAAGGCCAAGACAGAAACAAGAGCACTGTCCAAAGACCAGGATGGTTAGGTGGTGCATGAGCAGGCCGAAGGTAATTACCTAAGTGTAGTTACAGGATGAGAGCTACGCTCGTGGTGTCCCATCTTCCCAGCACTCTTTGTCATATAATGCTTTGAAACTACTGACGATCTTGGCCTCCACCACCTTCTCACCTAACTTGTTCCAACCGTCTACCACTCTGTTTGCGAAAGTGAATTTTCTTATATTTCTTCGGCATCTGTGTTTAGCTAGTTTATATCTATGACCTCTTGTTCTTGAAGTTCCAGGTCTCAGGAAATCTTCCTTATCAATTTTATCAATTCCTGTTACTATTTTGTATGTAGTGATCATATCACCTCTTTTTCTTCTGTCTTCCAGTTTTGGCATATTTAATGCTTCTAACCTCTCCTCGTAGCTCTTGCCCTTCAGTTCTGGGAGCCACTTAATAGCATGTCTTTGCACCTTTTCCAGTTTGTTGATGTGCTTCTTAAGATATGAGCACCACACAACCACTGCATATTCTAGCTTTGGCCTAACAAAAGTCGTGAACAATTTCTTTAGTATATCACCATCCATGTATTTAAAAGCAATTCTGAAGTTAGAAAGCGTGGCTTAAGCTCCTCGCACAATATTCTTTATGTGGTCCTCAGGTGATAGTTTTCTATCTAGAACCACCCCTAGATCTCTTTCTTTATCAGAATTCTTTAAAGATTTCTCACATAATATATAGGTTGTGTGGGGTCTATGTTCTCCTCTTCCACATTCCATAACATGGCATTTATTAACATTAAATTCCATTTGCCAAGTGGTGCTCCATATACTTATTTTGTCCAGGTCATCTTGAAGGGCATGACAATCATCTAAGTTTCTTATCCTTCCTATTATCTTAGCATCATCAGCAAACATGTTCATATAATTCTGTATACCAACTGGTAGATCATTTATGTAGACAATAAACATCACTGGTGCAAGAACTGAACCCTGTGGTACTCCACTTGTGACATTTTTCCAGTCCGATACATTGCCTCTGATTACTGCCCTCATTTTTCTATCAGTCAGAAAATTTTTCATCCATGTTAGAAGCTTACCTGTCAGCCCTCCAATATTTTCCAATTTCCCGAACAACCTCTTATGTGGAACTCTGTCGAAAGCCTTTTTTAGGTCCAGATAGATGCAGTCAACCCAACCATCTCTTTCCTGTAATATCTCTGTTGCTCGATCATAGAAACTGAGTAAATTCGATACACAGGATCTTCCAGATCGAAAACCATACTGTCTGTCTGATATTATATCATTTCTCTCCAGGTGTTCTACCCATTTAGTTTTAATTAATTTTTCCAATATTTTGACTATGATGGTCAATGATACCGGTCTATAATTAAGGGGGTCTTCCCTGCTTCCACTTTTGTAGATTGGAACTGTTAGCCTTTTTCCACACATCAGCTACAACTCCTGTAAAGAGGGATGCCTGAAAAATCAGTTGAAGAGGAATGCTGAGCTCAGGTGCACATTCTCTCAGAATCCATGGTGAAACTCCATCTGGACCAACTGCTTTGTTCTTATTTAGCTCCTTGAGCATTTTTTCCACTTCGTCTCTAGACACCTCTATGTGCTCTATGTTGTTCTCTGGAATTCTTATTGTATCTGGTTCCCTTAAGATTTCATTTTGTACAAACACACTTTGGAACTTTTCGTTTAATGTTTCACACATTTCCTTTTCATTTTCTGTGAATCTATTTTCCATTTTCAACCTCTGTATATCATCCTTTACCTGCAATTTGTTGTTTATGAATTTATAGAATAGACCTGGTTCTGTTTTACATTTGTCTGCAATCCCTTTTTCAAAATTTCTTTCTGCCTCTCTCCTCACTGTCGTGTAGTTGTTTCTCACATCTTTGTATCGCTGGTATGTTTGGGGGTTTGGCCTCTTCCTGTATTGATTCTATTTTTGTGCCTTTTGGTCTCTGGCCCTCTCCCACTTTCTGTTGAACCAATCCTGTTTCCTAGTTCTGCTTCTCTGTTTTGGTATAAATTTTTTTGTGCCTTTATCATATCGTTAGGTGAAACAATGCCCGAGACATCTTGCAAAACAATACAGAAGTAACATCAATACCAAAAGCAAGCTGCAGCAGCTCCGCCAATGCCTCGTAATACAATGCGACAGTATGTGTCAAAACGATAGTCCCCAACCTCTACGAGAAAAGGATAAGACCACGTCAACAAAAATGCAAGATACTTACGAAGAGACAAAAAGAAAAGGAAAGACCACCAGCAAAACCCCATACCGCCACCGAGACGAAGCACACAGGAGGGACACTATCGACAAAGTCACCTGATCACCAAAAAGATGGTGAGAGACTCGAGTCAGAAGTACCAGACTTGAAGACACAAAGAGAAGACCGAACCAGCCCCTTTACTGACTGGACCGATCATTTGAAAGAGGCTGAGCCGTGGGAAAACCCCTGTGTGCGAACACTTAGCAAGCAGCACCTGATAATAAGGCTGACAAAGAACCAGATGGAACATCCGCCAGGAAACCAGGAACCCAAACCTGGCGAGCCGGGAAAGAACTAACCCGGGCAAGCAGAAACTCCCCTTCCAGGAGGAACCCCCCCCCACCCCCGGACCCTACTAAAGAACCAACAAGTCCGATAACGGATGACAACAAGAAAAAGCTGCTTGCAAAAACTGCCAAACTGCAGACTCCGCAAACAGCAAGGACAAAATAGCGACATAAACTTAAGAACCAGGGCCCAGGCAGGGGCCAATGAGGAAACGAGCACCAAGAGCCGAATCGCGAGACACGAAGTGAAAAACAGCGACCCCACAACCCGCAGGAGCAGCGCAACCAGCTCCAGCAGGGGAGAACAGTGCACATGTCGCCGAGGCATCATGAGACGTAATATATGAGGAGAACTACTCAGGACGTGTACCGCACTAAAACAAAATGTACTTTCTGGAAAAAGAACACAAACAAAAGGCCGTAGCCAAGGCAGTTATCCTAGCTCCCCCTGTCCCAATGAAAAGGAACTGTAGGGGCAGGAGTGGATGATTGGAAATCTACATCCACTTGCAAACATTGTAACATAGAAGCTGGCAGTGCATACAAGGAAAAGATGAAAGAACTCAGTTCTATAACTTAACACAAGGGCAGTCCAACATCAGGTAAAGGAACATGTACATAGTCCAACCAAGCACCAACATCAGCACATATAGCCAATATGCACATACTACAATACACAACAATGTGTAATATGAAGGTAGGAAATACGGAAATATGCAATGAAAAGTGATGACGTCATGCTAGTTAGATAATTTTATTTGGGGAGTTCTGTCCACTCGTTCGGCTTTCGGTAACCCTATTTTAACCAGAATAGGGGGGTTTGTTTTGGGGTGCCTACCTTTCTGGGTACCTACCCAGTCGATGGCAGACATAGAATGCTCCCAACCACACGGGGGTTTCTGCAGGCCATTGCTCCTCATGCCTCTCTGAGGGGGCCAGGTTCTGGCTCGTGGTCCCCGCTAGGCAAGAAATCCAAGCACTTTGAATGATGCCAGAAATTTATACGTATCCATTCAGCCTGGATAGCTCCAGGGAGCCAAAGGGGCTCCCAGCAGAAAAAAAAGTAAAAATAGAATGAAAAGTAAACATAGGATGAAAGGAAAACAATAAGACCAGGTCAAGAAATTATTCTCCTTCCACTTGTGATGCAAGATTCGCCCAACCTATTGTCTCGTGATTAATGTCTCCCATTATAACAGCTCGAGTTTCTGCTGCTGAATTCATCACATTGTTCAGATCAATAACGTCCTCTACTGTTGCCATGTCTGCTCTGTATGCATGCAGAGTGGGAGACATGTAGCCATGTCTCCCACTCTGTTAGTCTGCTACCATATTAGTCATTTAACGTGTAAATTACTGTATATAACACAGACATGTAAGAATATTTTAAACTATAAAAGAACAAAAAAAATGACATAGTTCTAAAATTCATAAGAAAAAATGTAGAAGGCTGAAATATTTTACCAATAAAGTAGTGGTTAAGAATGGCTTAAACTTCATGAAGAAGATTTATGTGCAAAAGCCACTTAAGATTTAAAGCTATTTATAATAAAATGTTGAAGGAAGATATGAAACCATAATTAGCATAACTGTCAACTTGTAACTACATGTAGCAATGAAGAGTGTGATGATATCTTACTTTCACGTTCTTTCCGACGAAGCTTTTTCCTTCTACGTTCAACTGAGGCAAGTTCAGTTTTAACTTGCATATATGTCCTCTTCAGCTCCTGAATTCTGGACTGTAAAACTGCTATCCTCTTAGAAGCATCCAAGTCAGGGTCTGAAAAGGTGAAAAGCAGCAAAGTAAAAAAAAAACTGAAGGTACACCATATTAACTACACCTGTTAACACTTTGATAAAAAAAAAACACCGTTAAATGAAATGAAACGCCATTTTCTGAGTGAGAACCGAAGGCTCCCCCAGAGCTATACCGGGCTGATGTGTATATATATTAAACCGTGGAAACAGTCAATCGATGGAGTTCTAGGCCTACTGGGGAAAAGAGCCAGAACCTGGCCCCCTCAGAGACACACAAGAGCACTGGCCTACAGACACCCCGATGTAGTTGGAAGCAGTCTACATCTGCATTCTACCAAGTCAGGCACCCAGAAAGGTAGGAATTTAAAAAAAAATAAGCAAACAAGCCTGACGCCACCACAGCCATGACGCCGCTGTCTGCTAAGCTCCTCCCCCCCCCCCCCACCTTCCCTAAGAGAGGGGGGAAGAAGGGAGTGTCAGACCTCCTGTGCTAGCTATAAAACCTAAGCTTATAGGCTGGATATAAAAAACCAGCGTTGAATGTAATGAAACGCCATTTTTCTGGGTGAGACCCAGAGGCTCCCAGAGCTTACCTGGTTGATAGGGTTCTGGGAGTTCAGACTCCCATCTGGTCCAATGTGGGGTTGTGCATTGTTGCAACTGTAATTACCCTCACTGACTCCAGATTTGCATCTGGCACCAACGAGGGCCGTGATTTTCCTTGTATGTTATTGCTACTTGCTGCAGCCTCGTTAAGCTGCCTTACCGTAACGTTAGATTGTTCTTGTCATGTACTGTTAGTATTAAGTTTTATGAATAAACTGACTGTTAAGTACAAGTGCCTTTACGTTCACACCTTCAGACCCTTCCACCCTATAATAACTTTGCCGATACTGACAATACTATTGCGAGCCTTTTTATGTTGCATGGATTACTTGGATTCCAAATGCTTTCATGGCCATACACAACAAATATAAATTCTATATCGATGTGAATTTTGTTTAAGCTACTCTGATGACCTCCTTCTAAGGCCCCTAGAAGCTCCACGACCTAGTGGATGAGAAGTGCCAAGGATTTGGACTCCTGCAGCTGCTCTATGCGTCCCTGGTCAGTCATTAAAGCATAATCTGCCCTCATCATTAGTTTGATGATAGTTCAGTCCTTTCTGACTGAAGTTTCTCGTAACCTATTCACCACTAAAAAGGGATAATCTCACAATGGGATCCCTGGATTTGAAAGTTCTCGTAATCCATCCTATAATTTTCCTGGCTGCCGCAATACTGTGGCACCTCGACATTCGATTGCCCCTACTTACGATAATTTTGTGTTACGATGTAAATTTCATCGAAAAATGCAACTCGACATTCGATGGTGTCGTCGACTTCCGATATTTGTTGGTACACGTTCGGGTCGACCGAGCACGTGGTTCCCGGTCATGCGGCCGACCTGCCTCAGTTTACTACAGCTGCCCACTTAGTGACGATCACGCCTATAAGAAATTCTGCTTTTATGGTGATATTTTGCATTTTGAACATTAAAGTAATTATTATATATCACGCCATGAGTCCCAGGAAAATCAGTGGTAAGGCTCAACATATGAAAACCCATGTAAGGATGACCATAGAGCAGAAACAAGAGTACAGAATGTCTCTTCCTCAACAATTAAGAAAATGTGTGCAGCATGGGAAGAATTGCAAACCTTTGCTGAAACGACTCACCCAAATCAAGCTGCAGTAGGTCGTAGCCTTAACCTATTCAATGACACTGTGATGCATCATTACAGACAAATGTTAAAATGAAGGGAAAAACAAATGTCTCTTGACAAATTTGTAGTGAGACAAACACGTACTGAATCACAACCAGGTCCTAGTGGTATTCAGGCAAAACGTAGGAGAGAGAGAATACCCCAAAGAAAACATCACTGCCTGATGTTATAATGGAAGGGGACTCCCATTCCAAACAGTAACAACTCTCCTCCACCCCGCTCATCACCATCTTCCATACGCCATCAAGAGCCCTCCATAAAGGTAAGAGAAACTTTGGTACTGTATTGTATTTAGAAAAAAACATTGTATTCAGTACAAAATGTATTTGTATGTTAATATTTTGGAGGGTGGGGAACGGATTAATTCAATTCCCTTTATTTCTTATGGGAAAAATCGCTTCGACTACTGGCCCCTGGAGCGTACGTCACGGGCGAACGGGGAATGATGACGTCACGCGCCAACTTATGAACCCCATAGCAGCCAAAGTAAGCACAATTTCAATTTTTTTTTTACACACCCATACTGAGGGATGGGTTTTTGACACTTTAAAAAATCAAAAGAATTTTTTCCAGATAATTTATTTCCTGCGCACTGAGGGGGTGTCATATTTGGAGGCAACGCAGCTAAGGGGTTAATAATTAAACAAATATAGTTTTATTTATGAATTATGCACAGTTGGCATCTGCGAGCAGGTGCTGACATATGTCTGGCTATGCCTAGCCTGGACCCCGTTAGTAGCTCCCTCCTTCATAGCCATGCTGTTCTCATGTTATGAGGAAGACAATGAGGGAGGGATGGGAGGCATTGAGGTAGGGATGGGAGGCAGTGATGGAGGGAGGCATTAAGGGGGGAGAAGCAGTGACGGAGGGAGGCATTGAGGGGGAAAGGCAGGAAGGGATAGAAGCAGTGAGGGAGGGAGGGTGGTGGTGGTGAGGGAAGAGTGGCAGTGAGGGAGGGAGGTGTTTGGTTAATATGGTTCACTTGTTGTGTGGTCCACTTGTCGGTTCCAATTTCTCATATGAAGGAATTACTAATTGTAACCCATGATAGAATGGGCACTGACACATGAACTAACTTGAAACGCAATTACACAATGAACTTTATTGTTTTAGTTATACAGTATAAAATATATCCTACCTGAATGTTACTTGAAAAATTAAGTTAATTCTACCTGAATGTTACTTGAAAAATTAAGTTAAAAAATTAATCTTAACTTCGGAAATACCGGAGCTCCGGAAATAATGATCAGGGTACAGCCGCACATAGGCCATTAAATCGAGTGGATTTCCTCTACACACACACAAACACACATAGAGGCCAAAGCTAGAATATGCAGCGGTTGTGTGGTGCCCATATCTTAAGAAGCACATCAACAAACTGGAAAAGGTGCAAAGACATGCTACTAAGTGGCTCCCAGAACTGAAGGGCAAGAGCTACGAGGAGAGGTTAGAGGCATTAAATATGCCAAAACTAGAAGACAAGAAAAAGAGGTGATATGATCACTACATACAAAATAGTAACAGGAATTGATAAAATCGATAGGGAAGATTTCCTGAAACCTGGAACTTTAAGAACAAGAGGACATGGATTTAAACTAGCTAAACACAGATGCCGAAGAAATATAAGAAAATTCACTTTCGTAAACAGAGTGGTAGACGGTTGGAACAAGTTAGGTGAGAAGGTGGTGGAGGCCAAGAACGTCAGTAGTTTCAAAGCGTTATATGACAGTGCTGGGAAGACGGGACACCACGAGCATAGCTCTCATCCTGTAACTACACTTAGGTAATTACACACACAATTATGGAATGCCCTCTCATTACACAATGCATCAAGTGGGTTAAAGGCGTACCAGCTATGCCAGTTGCTGTGATGCATCTCCTGGTGGGTAAGAGTTCTAAAGAAAGAAAGAAAGAAAGAAAGAAAGAAAGAAAGAAAGAAAGAAAGAAAGAAAGAAAGAAAAAGAAAGAAAGACAAAGAAAGACAAAGAAAGAAAAAGAAAGAGAAAGAGAGAAAGAAAGAGAAAGAAAAAGAAAGAAAGAAAGAAAGAAAGAAAAAGAAAGAAAGACAAAGAAAGACAAAGAAAGAGAAAGAAAGAAAAAGAAAGAGAAAGAAAGAGAAAGAAAGAAAGAAAGAAAGAAAGAAAAAGAAAGAAAGACAAAGAAAGACAAAGAAAGAGAAAGAAAAAGAAAGAGAAAGAAAGAGAAAGAAAGAAAAAGAAAGAAAGAAAAAGAAAGGAATAGAAAAAGTAAAAAGTAAGTAGAAGTACTTTTAGTAAAGTACTAACTTTTACTTACTAAGTTAGTAAAAGTAAGTTAGTAAATTATAAAGTTAGAAAGTTGTAAGTAAGTTAGTAAGTTAGTTAGTAAGTTAGTAAGTAAGTTAGTAAGTAAGTTAGTAAGTAAGTTAGTTAGTTAGTAAGTTAGTAAGTAAGTTAGTAAGTAAGTTAGTAAGTTAGTAAGTAAGTTAGTAAGTAAGTTAGTAAGTTAGTAAGTAAGTTAGTAAGTAAGTTAGTAAGTAAGTAAGTAAGTAAGTAAGTAAGTAAGTTAGTAAGTTATTAAGTAAGTTAGTAAGTTATTAAGTAAGTTAGTAAGTCATTAAGTCATTAAGTAAGTAATTAAGTAATTAAGTTAGTAATTAAGTTAGTAAGTTAGTAAGTAAGTTAGTTAGTAAGTAAGTAAGTTAGTTAGTAAGTAAGTAATTAAGTTAGTAAGTTAGTAAGTTAGCAAGTTAGTAAGTTAGTAAGTAAGTTAGTAAGTTAGTAAGTAAGTAAGTAAGTTAGTAAGTAAGTTAGTAAGTAAGTTAGTAAGTAAGTTAGTAAGTAAGTTAGTAAGTAAGTTAGTAAGTAAGTGAGTAAGTAAGTTAGTAAGTAAGTTAGTAAGTAAGTTAGTAAGTAAGTTAGTAAGTAAGTTAGTAAGTAAGTTAGTAAGTAAGTTAGTAAGTAAGTTAGCAAGTAAGTTAGCAAGTTAGTAAGTTATTAAGTTAGTAAGTAAGTTAGTAAGTAAGTAAGTAAGTAAGTAAGTAAGTTAGTTAGTTAGTTAGTAAGTTAGTTAGAAAGTAAGTCAGTAAGTTAGTTAATAAGTTAGTAAGTTAGTTATAGATATAGATATATAAATATAGATAAATATATAACTGAAAACTCCACCCCAGAAGGATTCGAACCCAGACAGCCAGCAGCACTATGCACATGGCGTACCTAGTTCCTTAAGGGGGCGTCAGATTGTCAGAATCAAAGTTGTTCAATGTAAACCAATATTATTTGACTAGTTGTATATGAAAAGTGCTTTAATTGTCCCAAGTTTCAGTACTGCAGCATAAATAGAAAGGGAGATTTTTTTGTTTTTATTTTTTTTCAACGTTTTTTACACATTTTCAAGTCCACACTTCAGAACACACGTTTCAGATATAATTATTCTGTGACACTTTTCTGACACATTAGCATATAATAAAGGACCTTGAGATATAGAATTTCCAAAACATCTCTAGTTTTCCTAATACAAATGTTCAAAGTTCCCAATTTTTTTTTTTTTGCAAATATGGCATGCTTATTGCTATTATAAAATCAATAAATGAACTTAGAGAAAAATGAAAACTCTCAAATGTAGAGACATGCCCTCCACATATACACTGTACTGTGTAAGTTTCATGTAAATTGAATAAAAAATGAATCAGTTTTGTAAACGTTTGTGTCAATTGAAAAAAAACAGAAATGAATGAAGTCTAAGGTTCTAAAATCTGTGGCTGAGGTTGACATCAACTAATTTTCTCCAAAATTGGCGTCCTTACAGATAGGCTTACGTACAGTCAGGTGTGTGTAAGTTTGATGCAAATCGCCCGAAAAAAAATGAAAAAACAAATAATTAAAAAAAAAAAACTTTTTTATTTCTTAACATTTTTTTTCAATTAAACTAATTATAATATTTGTTTAATATATACTATTGTGATAGCAAAGAGTCATAGCTATGATTTCAGTTGACACTTTTGATTGATAATCGATTTTGACCATTTTTGCATAATTTTCACAACTACTTCAATATTTTTTTTCTCCCTTCCTATTTATGCTACGATGCTGAAATTTGGACCAGATGAAACACTTTTCATATAGAACTTGTCAAAAAAGTTTGATTGAAATCAAACGAGTTTTCATTTGTTGCATTTTTAGGGCAAATTGGAAGCTGACACCCCCTTAACCACTCGACCACTGTGACTGTTCAAAAGAAGTAGCAGAGGCCATTTTCCCAACATCCCGACAGCACTTGATGGTAAACTTGATCTTAGATATTACATCGAATCGCCTCACTTTGTGGGGCCACGTGAGCAACACAAATGCGAACAAGCTTGAATGGTTCCCAAGCCAATAGAAATCCCTAAGCCAATATTTCCCCCAAGCAATAGAAAGGCAATTGGTAAGCAGGATTTCAAATAATGTCTGGCATTATCTAGTCTATTAAGTCATTAGACATATTTAGGCTATAGTGAGATGAATTGTGTAGAAATTGACAAAATTATTCAGTAATCCAATCAGGTATACCTAATCAATACAAGTATCTGAATTCTGCATAGTTAGTACATACCTAACTCCTGACAGAAGTTGTATCTGGAACGTCTTGCAGCACTGCAAGCAAGAGATAAAGCTGACAGTCCACTCGTCTCTGGATCATCATCAACTTGAAGAGCTAACAAAGAAAAAATAAGCAAACTGTCAAGATTTATATAAAATTTACCTGAATTTTTTTTTCAATTACATACTATAATTACACTTTCCAACACATATCAAAGTCCTGTAATAATTACTTAAAACCTACCTAAATCCATTTCTGTGAAAGAAAGAAATGCGGTGGATCAAATAGTCATACCTTACTCCACTCTTGTGTTTCCTCATCTTAAAACGAGTTGGGGAACATGGCCTCCATAACGAGTAAGGATACTTCTTCATTACTCAAATATATTTATTAACTAAAATCTGTACAATCATTAACATTCACCATGTTCCAATAAAGATGAATAAAGTTAAATCCAACTAGTTAAAAAACTGTACAATTTGATTGCAAGGCTCACATTCACAAAATAATTATATGAAGAGGGTAAAAGTCTTTGCATTATCATTTAAAATTCAGTGTCAAACAGAAATTATAACAGGCACACAGGAAACAATTTGGATCGAACTAAAGAAAGTAAATGTAAGCTTAACCCTTAAACTGCGCAACGCGCCTGCAGGCTCACGTCTGGTTTGTGCAACGTGCCTCCGGGTATTTGTATTTTTCACGTTCCATTCAAAACTCCCGCGGCTACATGGGGTTCACATCAGCTTCATCAGGGCTCTTGTAAACAGACGCCATCTTTAAAAAAAATCGTGGTCCACATTCCTAGGTGTGGGAGCCTCAGTAGTGAGTGAGCAACCAAGGCTGGCGCTCGCAGCATGAGCGCACAGCACTGCTGTTCAGCATGTGACCACAGCATCGCCTAATAATGTCAAAATATATATATAACTTGTATTATTTAGCTATGATAGTGTTATATTAGAGTCTGAGTGTGATAATGACTGGGTACAATGTTCAAATCTCATGCTGAGATTCTCTCATGATTCGTGATCTCTCGTGATTCAATGCTGTTCACGATGTTCACAGCGCTAGCCACAGCACCACAGCATTATTTCGTTCATCTAGGAATCTTCAAATGATTTCTTAGGTTCCTTTTCAAAATAAACTTGTGGTCAATTATTCATTTACAGGAATTAGTGACCAGGATTGTGATAATAGCAGGATTGTGGTTATAATTAGCGTTGTGCGTAGTATTGTGGAAGGAGGAATTTTGATGAGGGAGGGAGGGCGAGAATTGAGGTAGCCTCATTGTGTGTGTGTGGCTGCCACTCTTGTTTTGCTCACCATACTAGCTTAGTGGTTCACTATGGGCAACACATATGTACATGGGTATATATAGTGTAAGAACAGCAACAGGAGAATGTTGAGAGGAGCTATTTTGGTGAGGGAGGTGACGTAATCGTAGCGTCGTCTGCTGTGTGATTTTTCATGCAGTGTATGGTGGCCACTGTACTGTTTGGACACAATACCAGCTTACTTGCATAGTTCTTCTAAATAAAACATGTAGATAGGTATATAGACCATGTGTAATAAGAACTATAACAATATGGTGGGAGGAGCAATGTTGGAGAGTAAGATGTTGGAGTGAGGGAGACTGACTGGGTGTGGCTGCTCTCACTTGAGGTGTTCTGAATGTGCTCATGGCCAAATGCTCCTATTGGCCCATACGAGGCAGCTGCTATTGGCCCATACGAGGCAGCTGCTATTGGCCCAAACGAGGCAGCTGCTATTGGCCCATACGAGGCAGCTGCTATTGGCCCATACGAGGCAGCTGCTATTGGCCCATACGAGGCAGCTGCTATTGGCCCATACGAGGCAGCTGCTATTGGCCCATACGAGGCAGCTGCTATTGGCCCATACGAGGCAGCTGCTATTGGCCCATACGGGGCAGCTGCTATTGGCCCATACGGGGCAGCTGCTATTGGCCCATACGGGGCAGCTGCTATTGGCCCATACGGGGCAGCTGCTATTGGCCCATACGGGGCAGTTGCTATTGGCCCATACGGGGCAGCTGCTATTGGCCCATACGAGGCAGCTGATATTGGCCCATACGAGGCAGCTGCTATTGGCCCATACAAAGCAGCTGCTACGCGGTGTTCTGAATGTGTTGATGGTGAATGTATATAGTGTGTGACAGTGTATAGTGTGTAAATAGATTGTATATATACACAAATTAGCATGATACATAGTAAATATGTGCTGCATATGTGTACACAAGTTTCATGCACGTAACACAGTGTCTACGGACAGTACGGATGTTGTACTGCGATATTATAGTGTACGTGTTCATTATACATTGGATTGGCACATAAAAACAATGAAATTGTATTTGGAAAGGTGCGCAAGAAATGAACAAAAATATATTCGCGGCAACTCGCGCGCCCCGCCCCGAGCGCCCTACCGCCCCCGAGAGCTTATGGCACGGGCGCACGGGGAATGATGACGTCACGCCCCAACTTCCGGACCCCATAGCAGCCAAAGTAAGTACAATTTCGACTTTTTTTTTACATACCCATACTGAGGGAAGGGTTTTTGACACTTTAAAAAGAAAAAAGAATTTTTTCCAGAGAATTTATTTCCTGCGCACTGCGGGGGTGTCACATTTGGAGGCAACGCAGTTAAGGGGTTAATAAATACATTTACACAATATCCACCAAACTTTGACAGACTGAGAGAAGCATATTCAAAAAGAAACATCTAGGACATCTGAATATAATAATATTTGTATTGTAGATAACAAAAGTTTTTGAAGTAGGTGACTGCTTTCAAGCCATATACAGTATGTCCTCATTGAAACTATATGGGGCTTGGCAATGCCAATTTGTTCCATATGGGGTTTTTGTTCGACCTGTTAGGCCTCAGACAACCCCTTTCCCTCCAGGGAAAAAAATAAAGGGTCTACATCCACTACAATGCATATAAATGGATGATTTACCCTACTAGGAGAATAGTGTAATATCTTCATAAATAATGGTGAAGCACATTACCATTAATTAAGTATAAATTCATCTTTCTATAAGGCTATAATAAAATATAAAACTCACAGAAAACAGATTATATATTTATCATTTTGAATATAGATTATGAGGCAAGACAAAAGGTAAATGTACTTCAACTCGAGCAGTCAAGTCGAAAGGCCTTCACCACGTGAGCCTTGTGATCAAGGAACAGAGCCACACATGAGGGAAGGTGCCGGTTCCACGGCAATGCAAACAGATCCACCTTCGTAATTGAATGTCTCTAAGATCAAATGGAAGGATGCGACATCAATGATCCTCTCCATAGAAATGAGACAGAAGCGAGATAACCAGTCGGCAAGAATGTTGGACACGAGGAAACCTCGCACATGAACTACATGAAAAACTACACCTCGAGGAACTAGAAGCCAAACTATTCGAAGCATGCAGATTCACATGAAGATTGACCACAGCAATTCCCTTCAGTTCAAGCAATGAACCAACTCTAGCATGCAGAGAAGAGCCCAGAGTAAGCCAAAGCCCAGAATAAGTCCCAAATAAGGCCCAGCCAAATCTGAATCTAAGATGGAACCAAGTGGAATTTTCACAATGTTATCAGGAACCAAATACTGTTGAGCTGGGAAAGAACCAGATCTCTGGTGTGCTGATACGCACATCGACTAGGAGCCCAAACCAGTAAGTTGTCGCGGTAGACTAACAAACGAACCTGAAGAAGATGCAGCCAGGCCACAATCACCCACATCATCCTAGTAAATGCACATGGTGCCAAATTCAAACCAAAAAGAAGGAAGCAGTAAGCCTAATGCGCCACCACAAAATCTAACCAGTCCCAGAAGCTGGGTAGACAGGGACATGCCAGTATGCATCCTTGAGGTCCAGGGACACCATCCTAGCTCCAGCCTGTACAAACAAAGTTCACTTGAGTCAGGATGGTCAAGGAATGAAGGTGTTCAAACTTGCAAGATCAATGATGTACAGGAGGACCCTTCAGGACCAGGAACAACCGGGACACCCACTGAAGGCATGAGGTCAACTCGACCATGCCCTAGGCTAATCAAATCACACTGACACAGATACAGAACCAGATACCTGACCAGAAAGCCCCAACTCTAAGACAGAGGAAGGGTTTAACAAACTCCACCAGAGACCGTGGAAAATGGTTCAAAAAGCCCATGAATCATGGGACCAGTAGCTGGCAAAACTAACCAAATGGCCCCCCTACAGCGACATCAATGGGATCAACCATGAAAGGACCAGTGTGTAACATGAACAGAAGCACCATTCTGGGACTTCACAACAGGATACAACAGCCTGTAAATATGACTCTACTGAGGACCTACCTCGACCAATATCAGGTGAGGACCCAACCTACCAGACTGCCACCGAGTGTAGCCAGAACCCCAAGTAAACAATAAATGGTCAATAGGCAGACAGAATTTGGGACGCTGCACCTTCTGGAAAGAGGAAAGGCGAGAAAATGGGAGGCAGACAAAAGGGAAAGGGACCAAGCTGAATCTAATGAATGGGCCAACACAGCCTGTTAACACACAAGGTGGGCTGAGTAAAATGCCACATCACCTCCTGAAGGAGAGGGCAAACATCTTGGGCAAGGTCGTCAAGGAAGGAACTGCAGATTTCAAAGCCTCCACACACTGGGCGGTACTAAGTGAAGCCACATCCTCATAGAGCTGACCTGAAAGCCCTTCCATGAAGGCCCAAACCTGCAAGAAAGCTGCTAAATATAAAAGCAACTTATGGTCACTGAAGAGTGCTACAGCAAACAGGTAGTACCTGAGTAGGACATAAGAAGCGCCACCCAAAAACACCAGAAAGACTGAACACACCACCAGCCAATCAAGTGCAAGGGTCCAGCAGAACCCTTGCCAAGCCCCTAATGAAAAGAGGGGGGGAATGTCAACCAGTCAGGATGAATCCAGAACCTCACATTGCAGCTAATAAGCCAAAATAGACATGTACTCCAAAGAGGTCAGATCAACAAAGAGGTTCAGATGCTGTAGGAGGTACAAAAACAAATCTGCGCAGGTCTCCAAAGGGAAAACGTGGGTAGACGGAAACCTCTTGAAATACAATGATTCA